AAAATCAATACAAAAATCTATGAATTTACTGAACTAAATAATAAAAATGAAATGAAATTAATTCTTTTGAATTTAAGTGGATTTGAAAGAAATTATTTTGAAATCAAAAATGAAAATCTTTATACAATTAATGAAATTGATCGTGAAGATTTTTTAAATTCAAAGAAATGTTTTGATCGTTCATATTGTTTGATTGAACTTCATATTCTTGTTAATGATGGACAACAATATTGGGTTATACCAATCCATATTGTCGAGTAAAGTTTTTTTCTTATTTTTCTATTTAATTTAAAGATTATGTATTTTTTTTAGTGAAAATGATAATAAACCACAATTTCGGAATTCCTTAATAAAATTAAAATATCATGAAAATATTCCAAATGGATATGAAATACCTTTTGAAGGTGCATTAGATATTGATGAAGGTTTAAATGGACAAATTCGTTATATTCTTGATTGTTCATCACCATTACTATCAAAATCATTAAAAGAATTACAAAACTTAAATAAAACCTCAATAAATTGTTTTCCATTATTTGAATTAAAAATTCTTTCACAATCAAGATTATTAAATCAATACGATCAATTAGCATTAAAATATATTCCATCAAAAAAAAATTTATTACAAAATGAATATATAGAAAATAAAACAACCTATGATTTAATATTATATGCAATCGATAGTGCTGAAGATAATGATAAACAATTAGAAAATTCTTTAAAAATTCAAGTTGAAATTGAAGTCGAAAAATTTGTTTTCAAACCAAAATTTTCTCTATTAAATTATAAATTTATTGTAAAAATAAATTCATATTTAAAAAAAGGTACAATTCTAGGTAAAGTCTATGCAAAATCCAGTAATCAAAATCAATTAATTCTATATAAAATTCAAAATAAAACAAATGATATCGAAATCAATTCGTTAACAGGAGAATTAATTTTATTAAATGAAAATATTTTATCAAGTACTACAAATAAAATTGATTTGGTTGTTGAAAGTTATTATTATTTAAATGAATATTCAACATTAAAATCATTAGCAAATGTTGAAATTTATTTTCGTTTAATAAATCAAATTAGTCAAATAAATATAATTTATTTAAATCAATCAAAATTTATTCTACAATCAAATGAAAATCCCAATAGATTCTCTTTAAATCTCCAAACAAATTTTACAAATGAAATTTTATTTCAACTATCAATTTTACCATCATTTTATTTATTTGATAAATATATTTTTTATCTTGATAATTATCAAAATATATTTTCATTAGAAAATTCAACATTAAAAATCTATTCGAATTCTTTGATTTTTAATGAAAAATATTTTAATTTAACAATTAGAATTCAACATGAATTAACACAAGTATGGTTACCTAATTTAATTATTCAATTCATATCAAAACAAACCAATGAAAACCTTTGTAAAGAAAATTTAATTTATAATTTATATAATTTAAATCAAACAAATTTTATTGAACAAATAAAAGTTTTAGAAACAAATGAAAATAATATTTCATTATTTACAAAATATGATTTTTCATCGATAAATCCGAATGAAATTTTTATTAATCAATGTCGAATGTTATTTCTGAATAATAATATTCAAAAATATTCTCATTATAAACTATGTTCATTAAATGATATATGTTATAATATAACAATGATTCGGAATAATCAAACAAATATGTTTTTAAATAAAAATTTCAGATTATTTTTTAAACCAATACAAATAATAATTATTTCATTTTTAATTATTTTTATTCTTAGTACAATAACATTATTTATTATTATTTGTCGATTACAACAATTTCATTTATGTTTAAAAATTAAAAATTATTTAATTTATGGAAAAAAATATCAATTAAATAATACAGAACATCTTTCATCATTGAAAATAAATGTAAGTCAATAAATTACTATTAATACATTTGACATCACTCAGTTTTCTTCGAAATATGTACATTTGCTTCATCACACAATTAGTTATTGTCCTTTTGTATAAAATGAAGTGAGTTGTTTAGATGATGATTTTCAATCTTTCAGTTTCGACAAAGAAGTTACTGATGATAGAGTAGATATACATATTTTCATGCTATCATTTCGTCAGAGTTTTGTACGGATCTGCTATGTAAGAATCTAAAACCTAGACCGAAGCGCAAACTAGCTGAAAAAATTAAGAGAAGGGCATCATAGGACAGCAAAGAAAATGAAAACTTTCTTTGCTGTTGGTTTTCATGAGAAGTGTTGCATGTGTTAAATAAAATAGAAATCATTGACAAATCTATCTCTATGAAATTTATTCATATTTTAATTATATCTTATTGAAAATATCTTGGTCTTTGTTATTAAAGAAAACAATAATGCATAATTTTACCCATTGAATTCTAATGATTAGAAATAGTTCTTACTCATATCCTGTTGAACTTTACATCAAATAGATTGATTAGAGGTCAATATTTTTTAAATGAATAATAGAATCGATTCGACATGATTAGAATTTTCTTCTGATCAAAATCAATGACAAAAGGTTTTACTTTGTCTAAATATCATCTCTTTTAGCAAAGAACTCATTCAATTGTTGTTCGAGAATCTCAATCACCTTCGATTGAATCAATGAAACATAGTAAGTTTTCTTTCTTTTATTGTATATTTATTTTGTAATATATGTATATATAGAATCATATGTATATAGTATTGATGAATTAATTAAAGAAGAACCGAAACCATCAACGAATATTTCTGTTGATGTACCAATATCATTATTATGTACATCATCAGTTGGAGGTGAAAGAGTAGAAGAAAGAATGATATCAAGTATTGATAATGGAACAATAGGTCGAATATTATCATCATCATCATATATACAAGAAACGAAACAATTATTAGATATGACATCATCATCATCATATCAAGATTTGAATGTGTCTAGATTAGCTTCTGAAGTCTGATTTCTTTAACAGTTGTCTTGTTTTTATTTGATGTTGTTGTGTTTTTTTGTTCAGTGCTTGATTGTTTTCAAATAAATAAAATATAAAATGAATTACAAGTCCTATAAATAACATTTTACATCATATCATTTGTATCTTAGGTTAAATATGCAAATATGCCATTTTATCAGACAATGTCGTTTAGTTCAATTTTCGTGTGCAGTCTTTTCATTCTCACTTTTTTTTTATTTCACATGCGTTCGAAAAGAGATCAACGAGAAGTATCTTTTATGTCACGACAAGAATATTACTCAAAACTCCACATGAAATGCAAAGAAAAAGAACAGTGCACAATCTCTTTTACACATTGACAATAAACCTCCAACCAATAAGAATAAGCGTCAATGTATGATGGTTATTGCTAAGGACGACTCTTCTCGTTGATTTGTTTTTTGCCTCTATCTATTTCTATTCGCTTCCAAGTCATATGGCTTGGAAGCGTGTAGACAAATAATGGTAAAAAATATCAAGGAGAGAAAACCAACCTTAACAAGCATCATCATACATCGACGCTTATTCTTATTGGTTAGAGGCTTATAAGCAACATGAGAATAAAACTCATTCATTTATACACTATGAATTGCATAACCTTTATGAACATAGATAAAACACTATCAGTAAATATATATATATATCACGTAACAAAAAAAAACTTAACGCATACACATTTCATTAAAAAAAGAATACGGCTTTAACAGAAATAGTAATATTAATGTCTAAGAAAGTTATCACATCTCTCCTTACATTACCTGTTGAGCTTGTCTATCGTATTCTTGACAATCTCGATGAGTTATCTATTCTTCTTTCAATTCGCAACGTTTGTACACGATTGAATGCAATCACCGACACATATCATCGATATCAGGTAAACTTTATTATTGAATGAAATATTCGCTTGATTTTACATCTTGCTTAATTTGAAGATAGACTATTTGAATTATTCTCTATAATGTATCATACCATGCTATTTGAAGTTAAAATAAGTTAGCAATGTCACAAGACTATTCTATAATTAAAATTTCTATATAGACAATGTCTGCACTCGATCTCAAATTTCGAAAAATTTATGATCAGACTATAAAATGTTTAGTAACTGTCTTACACACGAACAAGGTAAAATAAGTAATATATCAATTTATTTGAAACTATTGACTATTATATATTATAGACTTTGACAACACTTGATCTTGCTCAGAATTATATTAGTATAGAAGGTGCACAATATCTCATGAATTTTTTAAAAATAAACACAGTAAGTTATACTTTCTATTTCTCTATCATATTTTCATCATCATGATTTAATAAGATACTTACGATTTTACATTTGAATTGGAACAAAATTGGTACTGAAGGTGTACAATATCTGGCCAATGCATTATATAACAACACAGTGCGTCATATTCTATAGATTTATTCGCTATATACTTATTACTAACATTCAATATAGACACTCAAAGTATTAGATCTTGGAGGAAATTGTATTGGTGATGAAGGTGCACGATACTTGGCAAATGCATTAAAAAATAACACAGTAAGTCATATTCACTATTTATATATCGTTTTTTTCATAAATATTATTCAACATAAGACGCTTACAAAATTAATACTTTGTGAGAATCGAATTAGTGCTGAGGGAGCACATCATCTCGCTAATGGATTACGTGATAACACAGTAAGTCGTAGTCTTCATTCATCTATTATATTCTCACATATGCCATTGAATATAGACACTTACAACGCTAGAACTTGGCGAAAATCAGATTGGTTCTAAAGGAGCACAATATCTTTCTATTACACTAGAAACCAATACTGTGAGTACTAGTGTATATTAATCTATCAGACTTACATCATCATTCAACATAGACACTCACAAAGTTAGATCTACAATGGAACAAAATTGACAGTAAAGGTGCACAGTATCTTGCCAATATATTTTACAATAACAGAGTAAGTTCTATGCTTTTCTCATTTGTGACATTGTTAACATTATTATTCAAGTAGACGTTCACAATGTTACATCTTAATTGCAATTCAATTGGGAATGAAGGTGCTCAATATTTGGCAAATGCATTGAAGAACAACATAGTAAATTACACTCTGTACATTTACAAAATTTTGACTATCATTGTTTATCATAGTCTCTCACAACACTGATAATTTCTCGCAATCAAATTGGTCTTGAAGGAACGCGATATTTTACTAATGCGTTAAGAAATAATACAGTGAGTCGAATTCTCTATTTTTCGTTTGTAGTTTCATTACTGACATTCAATTTAGACGCTTAAGATTCTAGATCTTGCACATAATCGAATTGACAACGAAAGTATCCAATTAATTGCCAATGCATTACAAAACAATACAGTAAGTCATATTCTACTCATCTATTACGTTTTTATCATTGTTGTTCAATGTAGACATTGACCACTCTACATCTCGGTTGGAACCAGATTGGTACTGAAGGCACACGCTCTCTGGGAAATGCATTAGAAACTAACAGTGTAAATCGAATTCTCTATATAACTATGATCGTTGCACTTACATTATTTAATATAGACACTCACAACTCTGGATCTTAATCATAATCAAATTGGAGCTATGGGTACACAATATCTCGCCAAAGCATTAGAATGTAACATAGTGAGCTATAGTTTTTACTTATCTATTATATTTTCACTATTGTCATCAAATATAGACACTCATAACTCTAGATCTTACTCATAACTATATCGGCAATGAAGGCGCACGATATCTCACTGATGCCTTACACAATAATAGGGTGAGTTAAATCCTTGGTTCGTTAACTGCATTTATTTGATCAATACTCAATGTAGACGCTCACAATGCTAAATCTTGCATGGAATAATATTGACAATGAAGCCACACAATATTTCATGAATGCGTTACAAAATAACACAGTAAGCTACATTATACTCTTCTAGTAAGCTTTTACTATTAGTATTTAATTCAGTCACTCATAAATCTGGATCTCACCAGTAACAAAATCGATGTTCAAGGTGCGCATTATCTACTCAATTCATTAGAAAATAATAAAGTGAGTTAAACATTTCACTTATGGTACTACATTATAATTATGATTATTCAACGTAGACACTTACAAATCTAAATCTTGCTAATAATCAAATCACGATTGAAGATGTACAATATCTGCGAAACATTTCAAAAGATGCTTTAACACGAGTTCAGTTCTAAAACTAATACGAATAACTGTTTGTTTTCTTATCCTTTGAACTTGTACATAAGTGTAAAATTTATGAAAAACAACATTTGCAACGTATTTCGGTGATCAAACTATATCATTCTATCGATAAAAGTATTTTATAATAGAAATTGATTACAAAATAAGTTTTCATCCTTATTAGATATGAGCTAAAGGTTCGATTTTACATTAAGAAAAAATTAAATTAATAAAACAGAAAATGCAACCTTGATTAGATTCTTAATAATTGGTCCTGCAATATTTAAAATTGGTGCACACTGTTCAACTCGTGCTGTCCAAGTATTTTTCTTTGCCAAAAATGCTCGTTCACGTTGTGTATCTTGTATGTAAACCATAGCTAGTGCAATTGAGCATCCTATTGCAACAATAGTTAAACAAATAATGATAATCAGTTTGATCATATTTTGTTCACACCATGAAACATCATCATCATAATAATACTGATTATTGTTGTTATCGATATTTCTTGCTCGATGACTCATTTTAAAGATAACAAAAGCGAAAATAAGAATACAAATAATATCTTTTTTTCACGCGGTTTTTTTTGCATATAGTAAGATTCTTTGCTGATGTTTATTTAATCATCAAAAAGTGTTTCGGCTATATCTGCAAATAATTCTTTAAATGTTGTTGCAATTGTACCCTTATGTGATTTAATCCATTGATAAACAAATCCATCTTTCATAATCATATCTAAAACTTTATTCGCCACACCATGTTTACGTCTGAATTCATTTTTAATACGTTGACGTTCTCGATCGCGTTCAGCATATTTATTTTTATAATATATTAGTAGAACTGCTGATATGATAAGAAGAAGTATAAGAAAACTACTAATTATTCCAAACCAATATTGTGCGCAACATGATGAATCTTCATAATTATCATCTATATCCTTTGAGTTATAATTCTTATATGAAGATGTAGATACAATACTTGTATCACTCATTGCTAATATTTATAATTTTTAAATTAGTAAAAATTACAAATTAACTTTTGTTTAAAAACAACATGTATGTAACTAAGGAAATGAATAGGCGGAGAAAATATTTATAAGTTCTTTTAATTCTTTTATTCATCGAATGATTTACATAATCCTAATGTTTCTATATACTTGAACTGTAAGGAAAGAAAAAAAAATTTTAAATCCGAACTCCCAGATTTGAACTGGGGACCTATAGGTTTCTATGATAAATGTCCATTACAGCCTACCGCTCTGCCAACTGAGCTAAGTTCGGATATACAAATCATAGGTTTTAAATAAAATTCTTTTTCGACTTTATATACTTTCTAAACATTAACTTTTCAATGATAATCTATAAAAAGAAATTTTATAAAATATCAGTCAATTTTCAGAGATTAATCAATGAAGACAAGATTTCTGACAGAATTGTTGTAAAATGGAATTAACAGAGCTTACGAATTTCACATATAAACAACTGGATTGCAATAAATCATCTACACATTAAATCTAGTACAATTCAATTAATTGAACAGTTATACAATAATGTATTTAGACAGAAAAGTAGTTCAAAACGAAACAGGACCATATGATGCTATCTTATCAAACACGTTTATATTGATAAACACTACAATGTAATAAAATAGTATTCTATACAAACTTCGTCCTTATTAGCTAGCACGTCTAGAATAGGAATATCTCATTTTTATCTTCTAAAAGTAGAAAAAATGACAATAAGAATTATAGATGAATAGATTGTTCACGCTTTAACTTCAAATTTGGTGAAATATTAGGCCTTGAATTTCAGCGTGATTTAGTATCATAATGCTCTATCTGATTTCGAAACTAAATCAACTAAACATGAAAATTATCAGTAGTATAAAACAAAATCTATCTTCTTTTTTTTGCAAACATCAACGTTCAAACAAAATATTTTATTTTTTTAGAAATTCTTCATTCAAAACAAACAAACAAATAGTAAATATTCAGATAAATTTTCCTAATGAAAAAATACTTGCCAATATAAAGTTCTTTATAATTTTATTGTGATTTTACTTCGTTTCGACGTTTTCCTTTCTTTATATAACTTTGTAAATAAAAATTTGCAAAAAGTAAAAGTATTGTTATGCCATAGAGTAGAAATGTAAGATCAAAAATTTTTGGAAAGTTACATGGTGCTAATATATTAATAACTGAATGAATAATAACTGCAATAAATTGAATCTATATCAAATAATAACAAGAATATATTTATAAATTAAATTAGATTAAAAAAAATTACTATTTGAGCTTGTGTTAAATAACGTTTCCACCAAAGATATTTTTGAATATGACTTCCACAAGCACTTAAACCATAATAAGCATACATAATAACGTGAATGAAAGAATTTATAATAACAATGAATAATGCTAATGAAAAATAAAAGAAATATAAACAGTTAAAATAATCGATAAAATTCCTATTGATAAAAAA